GAATGTTTCTGTTCAATTATTATTTTATAGATGAATGTTTCTGTTCAGTCCCTGAGATGATTCTGTTGTGACTTGGAGCTATTTAAATAAACTGAACTGAACTGAACTGGTTCTGATGGGCCTGGTTTGTTAGGAGATGAGGGTGGGATTAAGAACCTGTCCAGGATAAACTGCTGCAGCCGAAACATTCAGTCCAGTTGGACCCGTTCTGCTGGAATAAGGTCCAAACAGTCTGACGGTTGACTCTATACGATGGTGAAGACTCTCAGTCATCCAGGACATGGTAAATCCAAAAACAGTTAAAAACAAAACAACTGGACTTTGTTTTATTTTTAATTTCTTTGGATTCTTACGTGAGGAACATTTTCCGGCCGTGCAGGAACCGAGCGGCCCACTCACAGGAGCAGGGTTCTTCCTCCGGCTCCGGCAGGAAACGCCTCAGTTTTTCCTCTCTCTGCCTCAGGGAGCTTTCTTTAAAACCCACGTGTTGGAGTCGGTACCACACCCACGGCCCGGCCCGGTCCATGGTTCTCTGGAAGCATTAAGAAACATTTCAGTGTTTTGTTTTCTCAACTAAAGACACAGAACTCATTCAAGCTTTATTTCTACAGGTTAGTCCCACTGAGCCTCGAGGACTCTTTTACAAGACAGACCTGATTTAACAAGGAAAGATGAAACAGTGAACAATCATAAAAAGGCATACAGATTTTTTTTTAACAAATTAAAATAAGATGAAAAATAGAAACAAGAACAGCTGGATTATAAGGCGGTGTAGAAACTAAAAACAGGAACATCTCAGTTTTCATATCCCGTTTAAAATCTCACTACTGTTCAGCAGCTTTCAACACCAGAGGATCTGTGTTTGAACCTGCACGCTCCCACTGGTTTGTTGTCTTATTTATTATCTGCATCGTTTTATGTCTTTATTCTGATTGACCTCATTTTGTATTTTGCTTTGTGTGTTACCTGTTGTTCTGTCTGTACAGCCCTTTGGTTGGCCTTGTTGCTGTTTTAAGTGCTTTTTAAATAAAGTGGTATGGTAAAAACAGGAACACGTCTGCATTGGTTGTTCTCAGGAACTGAACAGATGTTTGAAGCCACTTAGAGAGGTCAAAGGTCGAGAGCGTCAGATCTTTTACAAGATATTCCAGGAAATAGGAGCGGAGTAGGAGAAGGTCCTTTTGTCTAGTTCAGTCCTCACTGAGGGAACACTGCAGGTAATGATGTCCTGAGAGCGCACGCTGTAGCTGCACTCACGCAGAGACATGTAGGAGGAGATGTATGAAGGCAGCAGACCAAGAAGTGATTTAAAGATGAAAATGTACCAGTGAGAGAGTCTGTGTGAAGTTAATGGTGACCAGTTAACCAGTGAATACTGGGTGCAGTGGTGGATACAGTAGTTACAGCCAGTTATGAATCTTAGTGCACCATGATAGACAGCATCCAACATCTGCAGCATCCAACATCTGCAGCATCCAACATCTGCAGGGTTCTTGTAGGAGCGTTCATGTAAATGATGTCACCGTGATCAATGGAGGGAAGGAAAGTCACAGATACAAGGTGTTTCCTAACATTCAGAGTTAGACAGGATCTGTTTCTGAAAAAGAAACCCAGTTTAACTTCCAGTTTCTTTACCAAGTTTTCCACGTGGAGCTTAAAAGAGAGATGTGAGTCGACCAAGATACACAAATATTTATAGGAATCAACAAACTCAATGGGGACACCATTTGAGGA